TCATCATCATCTTCCTTCTTCATTTTTTTCACCCTCACTTGTTCACTTATTTATTCCCCACCTCACTTAAGTGCATTATACCCCTCTACATCAGAGGAGGCTAAGGCCCGCTGCGCCTCCACAGTGCCAGGCGCATACACATGCTGCACATCCACTTCTCCCCGCACTAATCGAGTCTCACGTGTGAGTCGCGCCAACCGCCGCTCAATGCGCATCACACGATGTGCCAAATATAATGCCACTGCAGACATGCACAGGGCGACCAGCCACGCCCCAGCACCAATCAACGCCACTCCGGCCGCAATTAACATAAAATCAAGACGGAACCACATGAGTGTAATCCACTGTTGTCGGCTTACTTCCATCAACGATCCTGCATGCATGGCGCGGGCCGCAAACACCATCACCGCCGCGAGGCCGGGTACAACGCCTGTGAACTGCAGCCACGGCGGCGGGTCAAAGCGGCACCAGTGAAAACCAGATGGCAACAGAAACTGCAATACCGTCAGAACAGGAGCCACAACACCACAAATCACAACAGTCGTGTGCAGCGCATTCTCACGAACGTACGAGATGGGTCTCACCTCCACTTCTTCCACATTTGCCGGTGTGCTATTTGCCTGTTGTGGTACTTGTGTGTAGTGTTGTTGGTGGTGTTCATACACTTCCACAACGGTGTGGCGCAGGGAATCAATAACGGCCACAGGGTCTAAATCCGGTGAATCCTCCGGTGCACACTCTTCGAGCTCTGGGTGATCCTGTTTGAGTGTGTTAAGAACACGGGCAAAGAGGAAGTCAAAGGCAAAGAACAGAATGAGCTCTATAGTAACTAAGAAGAAGGCAAGAGAATCTGACATTGCTAATAATGAATTATTCCTAATAGTTATACGTCGATGCCGTTAAAAAGTTTTTTATTTTTAGTTTTATATTTATATGTATTTACGTACTGATATATATTTCTGGTGTTTTTTTTTTTTTTTGTTTATTGCACCACACCTCCTTCCTACCTCGGGATGAAACCACAAAAATAATATATATGCACAGACAGGCACGTGTATGCATGCACAGAGAAAAAAAAGAAGAAGCAAGAAACATCAATTAAGAGAAACACGAAAAACAATAAAAACAAAAAAAACATAAAAATTTACAAATATATGTGTATTACAAAAAGTTTTTTTTTTTTAAAAGAAAGAAAAAAAAAGGTTTCGTAACACATGTCTAGCCATAATCATCATCATCATCATCTCAAGAAAACAACTAACACCACCACCACCATAATAATAATTATAATAATAACCACAACAATAGAACGAAATCATGTGAACGAGTACACTACAGCAACTCCACTTCTGCACCGTGTCCCTCAAGAAGTCCTTTGAGTTTCTCCGCATCTGCACGTGCCATTGCCTTAGCGACAACACCAGGACACTTCTCCACTGCCGTCTTCGCCTCCTGCAATGGTACCCCAGATACAGCACGTAACTCCTTAATAAGTTTTATCTTATTAGCTGCTGGATACTTCTTCACATGAACATCAAAGGCACTTTTCTCTACCACTTTCTTCGTAGGGGCCTCACTTCCCGCTGCCGCTGCCGCATCAGAGGAACTCGAAGCTGCCGGAATAGCAGCAGCAGCAGCAACAGTGGTGGTGGATCCACCTCCTCCCATGCCTTGCAATAACATTTCCTCATACACTGGAGCAGAGGTGCCAGGCGGTCGTGGTGTACTCTTCACAACGAGCTCGTGAAATTTCTGCATTGTTGTTAAATCCATGTTCACATACGCCTCAGCGATGGCCTCAATGGTTTCACCGCTATCCCGCACTGGGAATGCCTGCATTCCGCGTGGCAACATAGTGCCTGCTGCGCCAACCGCAAAACAACGGCCTAATGGAATTGTAATCCCAACACGCTGCAGCTTCCGCATGTGACTTCTATTTTGATAAGACACTATCAATATCAATGGTAATAAGAACTACCAGAGAATTAAGAACAAGAAAAAAGAATGGAAAAACAATCTGCAATGTGAAAGCATATAAGTAAAGAAAAAAAAAAACTATGTGTGAAGAATTATGCCGTATACATATGTATATATAGATATTTACTTCTATATCACTCTTTTTTTTCTTTTCTTCTTTGTACGTACTCACAAGAAATAATAACTATATCGACCCATCAACAGAAGTAAATATTATCCACGTGATACAGCCCTTTAATTAGGTAACATAAGAGCAAACGACTACCTGAAAAAGCGCAGAATCAACAACTACGCTTTTATGGATAATAAACTACAAACCATTTATAACTTGAACCCTTGATATCTATGTTTCTTTTTCTATGGTAATAGACTCACTTTTTTTTCTTTCTTAATCTTTTTTTTCTTTCTACATTCTTTTTCTTTTTCATTTATTATTTTTTTCACTCTTTTTTTATATATATTTGGTGTTGCTTATGCTGATCTAGTGCAACGAACTTACGGTACAATAGGATTAGCGGAAGCAGGAGGATCTGACTTTATATCACCACCACATCCTCCTCCTCCTGCTGCAATTACACTTGATGGCGACGGCGGTGGTAGCAGTGATGGTCTCTCTGTACGTGTAGATCGTCGGGCTGTGCGCTGCAGGTATGGATCTTGACTGAGTTGCTGTACATCATACCGGTCAGAGGGGTGATACTCGAGACACTTCTGAATGAGATCTTTTGCCTCTTGTGAGACGCGAGGGGTATCGGGAAACCGCAGCGTACGTGCAGAGGATACAATGAGTTTATCCTGCCAAATACGCCGTTGGGACTCCCCTTCAGCAAATGGTCGTTTACCAAAGAGCATTTGATAAAACACCACACCGCAGGACCAAACATCTACTTTGTTACTGATACGAGGTGTAGCGGTGGTGTCAAAACACTCTGGTGGTAAATACCAATACGTGCCAGTGCCCTGTGATGTGAGTTCAATCGTTGGATTATCAGTTGGTCCATCACGTTGCTGCAGCAGTTTACTAAGACCAAAGTCTGTAATCTTTATCTCCATACTACTGGTGTGACTAGAGTGAAAGAGAATATTCGCTGGTTTAAGGTCATAGTGAATAATAGGCTGCTGCTGTGCGGCAAGATAACGCAAAGCACTTACAATCTGCAGAAGTATAAGACGTGCCTCACTTTCTCGCATACAACCATACCGCTTTAGATGTGTATCGAGATCTGTACCACGACTGTACTCCATCACAGAGACAAACATTGTTTCTCCTTGTTCAAACTCATCATAAAGACGTGTGAGGTGTGGGTGTCGTAATGTACGCATGATAGCCAGTTCTCGATCTGCATGACGACGATAATGATGTCGTGTTTGTGCAGACCAATCACGCTGCATTCGATGTATTTTACAAGCCACATAACGTGCCTCCTGCAAGTCAAATGCCTTCCACACTTCAGAGAAACCACCTTTACCAAGTAGATGCATTAATACATACCGTTCATCCTGTCCAATGGCAGGAATAGCCATAAATTCCGATGCATCCTCATCACTCACGCGGCGAATTTCTTTTAAAAATGCCTTCTTCTCATGATCAAGATCCAATTGACGTTGACGAACAGATTGTATATTGCTACCCAATGCCGTATACTCTGTTGTATACAATTGCAATGCCTCTTGTGCCTCCATGAGTGCATTCTGCGTCTCTGCTGTCATGGAGTCATCATCACAGCTGCGTGTAATTTGCCGTACACGTTTCTCTGCGGCTTTCTTTAATTCCTCCACTTCATCACGGCGAGTTGCCAACTCATCCAATTGTGTAATAAGTTCCTTTGGTGTATTGCCCTCCACCCACACCTCACGGCCATTACTGTGCCAGGCGGCAATCTGTCCAAGTTCAAAATGTTTTTGATGTAATGCTCGACGGGCATCACATCTCGCTTGTTTCGCCGCACACATCATTTCTTCTCGCAGTACGCGACGGTAGTGATCTGCACGTCCGGACATATGCTGCAACTGAGCCTCAGAGGAGGCGAGAATAGATTCCATCTCCGCTAATTTCGCCTCTGCTGCTACTGCCCGATCACGCATTTCGTCAATCTGTGCATCCCTGTCCGCAATCTCCTTTCGAAAGACCGCCGTGTCGTTAATGAGACCAAAGGAGACAAGTGTGGACTGCTTGAGTTTACGATCCGTGTGGCTACCGCTACCGCTGTTATTGCTGTACTGAACACCACCACTGCTTTGCCCTAACGCAGGGCCTCCAACCTCATCATTGTTATTATTATTATTATTATTATTATTATTATTATTATTATTGCTGTTGTTGTTTCCTCCAACAAAAACTTCGTCCTCTGTGTTTGAGGGGAGTTCAACAGGTCGTGGTGAACGGGAGGGAGTAGATTTTTTTTCCGGCTGCGGCATATCAACATCTACCACATCAACATCTGCATCAGCGTCCCTCGAACGCTTCCGTTGTTGTCGAGGTTCGCTACACTTCATTATTAACTTATCTGAAGTAATAATAATAAAAGAAAAAGAGAGAGATAGATAGATAGATAGAGGCAAAGTGTGAATAAGAACAAGATATGCGGTTTGTTAAAAAAAAAAAGGCTAATATAGAACATATATATATATATATATATATAT